TGAGCGTCGACCTAGGAACCAGGAGGTCAGGGTTCGATTCCCGGTCAGGGCACAGGCCCGCGTTGTGGGCTCCATCCTCAGTGGGGGGCGTGCAGGAGGCAGCTGACCCGTGATTCTCTCTCATCACGGATGTCTCTCTCTCTTTCTCCCTCTCCCTCCCTCTCTGAAACTGATAAAAAGATATTTTCACAAGAAAATAAATAAGAAAGACAGTGTAAGCCCTGCCCGGCCTGGGAGCTGGTGTCTCTTCACGGTGTGCTGTTTCCGGTGCCACCTCTGAGTAAGCCGGGGCGTAGGGCAGTGACGGCGAACCTTCTGAGCTCGGCGTGTCCGCATTTTGAAAAACCCTGACTTAGCTCTGGTGCCGTGTCACATAGAGAAATTTTTTGATATTTGCAACCATAGTAAAACCAAGGCTTGTATTTTTGACATTTATTTTATATATTTAAATGCCATTTAACAAAGAAATCAACCAAAACAATGAGTCCGCCTGTCACCTCTGACACGCGTGTCATAGGTTCGCCATCTAGTACTTACTGTGCATCTGCCCTTGGACACAGCAGCACCTCATGTTTACCCAGGAGGCGACGGGAGGAATAAAAGTGCGTGAATGGAGGACGTCCCAGCGCCAAGAGAACACCATTCGTGCCCTCAGTGTGGCCGTGACTCTGGGCTTCAGCTTTTTGTTTGTTTTCTTTAAAAACAAGCGAGGAAGGTCTCTCAGAGCGTCTCGGGGGGTGTGGGGCGACCCCGTGTGTGGGGCCATTCCAGAATCGGGTGACGGGACAGTGGGTCAGCTGCCTGTGATGTTGGGCTCACGCTCGAGGTGCGCGTCCGACTTTGCCCCGTGGGATGGGGGACGGGTACCTGTGCCCTGGCCGGGCGCCTCTCGTCGTCACGGTGAACGCTGCCCCTTGTTCCTTGGGTGGCCGCGGACAGCCAAAGCCTTCAGCCGAACAAGCTCTGTTCTCCGTGCTCTGAGCGCGTCTCCTTTGCACGAGGGCCGCCCGCTCGCCGCGCCCTGTGAAGCCCCTTTTGTTCAGGGTTGGGCGGCCGTGTGATTTCCAGGGACTCAGCCAGCAGACGTGAGACCTTTCTGGCTCCAGTTCACAGGCAGCCTTCTGGGCAGCACAACTTACTTACCCGCCTCTCCCCCCAGAGCGGTCCCCGCACCGGCCCATCCTCCAGGCCGGGCTGCCCGCCAACGCCTCCACGGTGGTCGGGGGCGACGTGGAGTTTGTCTGCAAAGTGTACAGCGACGCCCAGCCCCACATCCAGTGGATCAAGCACGTGGAGAAGAACGGCAGCAAGTACGGGCCGGACGGGCTGCCCTACCTCAAGGTGCTGAAGGTGAGGACTCGCTGCGGCCGGTGCCGCCCCGCGGGCCCCCAGGGGTCCGGCCATGGTGCTTGGATTTCCTCTTGAATTTGAGAGACGATTCTCCTGTCGGGCCAGCACAGAGTGTGTTGGGGAATTAGCTCCCTAGTCAAAACCAGAGGGATTTGGGGGCGGGGGGACCCCTGGAGTGGGAGTCAGAGAAGTTCAGTCATTTATTGGCCTGAGGTCTTTGGGGAGACGTTTCCGCTCAGCTGCCCGTCTGTAAGGGTGGGGACCCCGAGATCATCCCCGTGCAGGGCGGCTGCACCGAGTAGGTGGCGGGGGGGCGGGGAGCAGTCGCCAGAAAGAGCTTTCTAACCCCTGGGGGAGGGACCGGTGTCACTGTTACGCTGATGTTTTCTTTTCATGTGACATTGGGGTCCCGTGTTCGCAGCCACCGTTTAGAGACCATTTAGATTCTCCTTTTTAGAGAAGCCCCTTTGCCGTGGAAATTCATTCACATGCGGTTTAGACAGTAAACTTTATATTTTATTTTATTTTTTAAAAATATATTTTTATTGATTTCAGAGAGGAAGGGAGAGGAGGGGAGAGAGAAACATCAATGATGAGAGAGAATCACGGATCGGCTGCCTCCTGCACGCCCCACACTGGGGATCAAGCCCCCAACCCCGGGCCTGTGCCCTGGACTGGATCAAACCCAGGACCCTTCAGTCTGAAGGCTGACGCTCTATCCACTGAGCCAAACCAGCTAGGGCTGATTTATAAAAAACACGATGATTTGTGGTTACAGGGAATCCCTCTCCTTCCAAAACAACAATTTTGATCTTTTAATAGT